AAAAAAAAAAAAAAAAATGTAATCATCACGTTTTATCTCACAATTTCAGATTTTTTTTCCGGTCAGAGTACAGTTCCACAGCTATGGAAAATTATTCTTGTTGAACTCTCACTCATCAAAGATTTTGATTGGGAACATTTTCATGTTATATATATATATATATATATATATAAATTTTAAAAATATAAATTGAAATAATTGAGAATGTATTTTTTTTTTTCAGAGTAACAAAAATTATATATAACTGCTTGAACTGGGCTTCTGTAAAAAGTTTAGATTATCATGTGTAATCTATATAAAACAAAAACTACAGAATACTTGTATAATACAACTTGTATAATTCATTTTATAGGTATTTATAATGTATGTTAAGTATTCTATCATTTCATAAATTATTGTAACTAAATATAAAATCATTATAATATTTGCAGATTCCTTGTTACATCTTAAATTGGTTGTTCTGTCATGTTTTAATGCATTTTACTTTCTAAAGGTGCATGTGTTTAGTGATAAATGTGTATTATAAGTTGCATTACAAGGCATAATTAATACATTAAAAATACTTGTTTTAAAAAAAAATTTGTTGCAAATATGGCATTCTTGGCTTTACTTTAAAATTATCTTTAGAGAGCATGTTTTCAGAAAGTGATGAACGGCTGCACAGGAGAGATTGTGTCAAAATTTTGGACATGTACCTATTACTCACTGTGTTTATCAGCTTACACGTTTAAAATAATCAAGGTGCATCTAAACCAGATGAGCTTAAGAACAGATTTACATGCATACGCATCTAAATATGGCAGAAGCCACAATACATTTCTACACTTTATTTTTAGGTGTAAGGTGTTAGTAATATTAATTAACTACATGTACTTACTATATGGTTAGGGTTTGGCTTAGGGTTACTTGCATGTAATTATGCATAGTTTAATGTTATTATAATAGTAAGTACATGTAACATGTGTAACAAGGATGCCTTAAAATAAAGTGTTACCGAAAAAAAAATCCCTTTGACTTTCTGATGTGTCATTTCACTAACCACCGGCTGTTTATATGTCTATATAAAGACCAGCAGAAAACTTTCATTTGGACTTCCGGAGCTTGACAGATTGACACACAGAGAGAAACAGGTTTGACTGCACTGCTTAATATGATCCATTTTAAAAGTTGTTTTCAATTATTCATTGACTTAATATGCTATGATAAGTCAGAAATAAACAGGAAATACAAAATTTGTCATGAAAGTGATAGAGTAAAACTTGACTTAATATTACTGTGAAGTATAATGATACAATACAACTGTATTCAGGAAACATATGCTGTAAATGTATTATTGACGGTCTAATGGAGACATTTAATCTTACTGGTAAAGCTAATAGTAAGACACTGAAACATTTTATGGAGAGACTTTGGTGGATTTATCAATAAATATCAGATTTTTTTTTTCATTACTATATATTTCAGACTAAAAAGAAAAATATGTAAAACTGTCAGACAAACAGGGAATGTTTTTATGCAGGGAATTTGCATAAAAGAACAAAAAAATAAACAAAACGTAACAACACCATTCCTAATGAAATACACTGCAGTCTCCTTTGTGGCATCTAATTTACATTTTATCAGACAGCATGTATTTCTGTAAGCTTGCTTGGTTCTGTTTTACTGTTATTAAATCAAATCATAATCATGTTATACACTTATAGTAACTTAATGTGTACAAGAGCTGCATCATTTTGAGTGGAGCACTTAGAGCTTAGGTTTCAATTTTATTGATCTCCTTACAAATACTTACAGGTGCTATGAAGTATATTATGAAAACATACGTTAACAAAATAGTTAATATAAAATTAACCTTTATGGATTCATAAAGGTTTGGTGCTTTAAAAGGTAAGACATTTATAGAACAAAATAGTATATTATCAGCACAGCTAATCAAATTACCCTGTACAATAAAACAGATTATTATTAGATTATTCCTCATTTAATTAGTAGATTTACGGGATGTTATTCATTCTCTTCATGCAGTTTCATCCATCGTTGTGTAATTAACCCTGATAGCACACATACATCTCGGAGATGTCTATTTGATGTCTGCATTTACATCTGCAAGACGTATTTTTTAGAGTGTTTGCTCATCTGCAATACGTCTATAGGACGTTTCCTTTTAGATGTCAAATAGACGTCTATTAGATGTCTTTAAGATGTTTATGATTTAGAGTGTATGTAAAACTGACATCTGAAAGACGTCTGTTAGATGTTTGTCCACAGCAGATGCTTTCCAGATCAAGAGATCTTTAACAGACATCTTGCAGACGTACATGTGCCATCTGGGAAGGCTTTTAAAAGTGATTTTGCTGGTGGTTATTTAATAGATTTGGATATACTGCAAAGGATGCAGATGGACCTAAGTTAAGTGAGAATGAAAAGTTTAAAATAGGCGAGCAGTTTTCATTTCAGAATCATGCTAGGCTAAATTTCCAAAAAAGGTATTATATACCACTATATTATATATATATCTCAGTAAATCTATACATTATTACTGTATTTTATACTTAAACGTCTTAGCTACTAAAGAAGTACTGTGTTAAAGGAACAGACTGAGCAGTGATGCCACAGGACTGCGATGTGATGGAGCATCATAACCATTTCTCCTGTTTTTTTCCTTCGCTGTCTTACTTTCAGAACAAGAACCAACTGAAGACTCCCTGTAAAGAGACATCAACCTCACAATGAGTCTCTTCACTGGTTTTGGCAAGTCTTTCCCTGCTCTTTGTGTCTTTGTGGAAAAAGTGCCAGTTCCCAAGTATGATTACATCACATTTTGTTGGTGTAATCTATAGATTAGCTGACTATATCCAGCCTCTTACGAAGACTTCAATACAAATAAATGTGAATTGAACAAAACTTGATGCATAATTTTTTCCCTCCTCTCCAGATCAGTAGGGTCAGGTAGATCAGTCCACTATAGTTTGCTGTGCTGCATTATGAGTGCTCGTCACTCACAGAAAGGAGTGTGAATGTATGGTTTATACATTCACACTCCTTTCTGTGAGTGACTGGAGCACTCCCATGCAGCACAGAAAACTATAGAGGAGACTGTTCAAGGACAACATGCTTCATAGTTTATTATAAATGTATAAATCGAATGCTGTAAATAAGTGCATAACAAAAGTCAACATACATAAAATATATGATTCAATGTGTAAAAATGTTTTAAGTTGTTTTAAATTGGAATATACTACAAATATATTTTTATATATTAATAATTGTGGGGTGCACAAGAATCAAAAACATTAAACAAGATTAGTTTTCACTTAATATAATATCTTCATTTATTTGGAACTAATTTTCTAAGACAACAAACTTAACATTTACCATGAGATTAGTAAAACGACAATGAACATTAAGATGTGATTGAACTTGACAAACAAGCAAGTTGTAAGAACACACACACACACACACACACATACATAATTATATTTATATAGAGAGGCTGAAGTTACCTTGGCAGAAGACCAGATGTCGTTTATATAGAAAATACGGACTTTTACCATGGTAACTTCAGCCTAAAATATGTTAACATGGCAGGTAAGGATAGCTGACCACATTAATCCTCAAATATTAGAGGATTTTATCTTTTAAAAACAACACTAATATAACTACATATATATACTACGTATACATTATTTTATAAATAATGTAAATAAATTATTTTATTGTCTACTAATTACCAAAAATCACAGTTCTGTCTCTCCAACTCAATGTATTTCAATTGCCCGCTATGAACTTCCTGGAACTATTTGAGGTCTACGTGAATCACGTGACGATCGAGCGCTATGGACTTCCGTTGACGCAACCCTCTCTTTCCGCACCCCAACACTGCACATTTTGCATGTCTCCTTTCTCTGACACACCAATTTCAGGTCTTGGAGTCTCTACTAATGAGCTGATGACCTGAATCAGGTGTGTTTGATTAAGGAGCCATGCAAAACGTGCAGTGTTGGGGTGCCTCCAGGACCAGGGTTGGGAACCACTGCTCTAGACTATACCATGATCTTAGTGGATCCCTCTCATCACATTGTGTTCCCTTCTTAAAATTGCCTCGAATTAACATGTGAATAGAATATTCAAGAACATTATTTTGACATTAACCATGCAATGATGGTCTGATCCTTAGACCCATATTAGGGTTTTAGACTGATTTCAACCAATAAAACATCTGTACTTTCAGATGTGATCTGTGGGGTGTTTGTGTGGTGGTGGTGGTTAAATCTCAGGGCTGTTAACTGACAAGTTGCTGGCTGATCTATGCATTTCACGAAGACACTTTTCCTCAGGATCTTCCTAAAAGATTGTCCTGTACGTAAAATTATAAGCATCTAAATTACCACTTATGCCTGTTTTGTGTTTGATGCAGCATTAGATGGAGGGAGGCTGACCAGATGGATTCCTGACAGCAGAGCAAACAGACAAGATGATCAACAGACTCCTGCTGTCAGTCTCTCATCCATAAGGATTGTGCTGCTGGGTGAAACTGGTGTAGGGAAAAGTGCATGTGGAAAGACAATACTGGGACAGAAAGAGTTCGGATCTGAGAAAAGACAGACTGTAGTAACAACTGAATGTTCAGAAGCACATGCCACTGTTTCAGGCAGATCTGTGTCTGTAGTTGATACTCCTGGATTCTTTGACACTCAGATGAGGCCTGGAAAGTTAATGACAGCGATAGCAAGAAGTGTTTATTTATCCAGTCCTGGACCTCATGCATTTCTCATTGTGTTCAGAGTAATTGACAGATTCACTGAGCAGGAGCAGCAGATTCCTCAGATGATTGAGATGATGTTTGGTCAGGAGGTGTTAAACTATTCCATCATTCTCTTCACTCATGGAGATCAGCTAGATGAGCCCTTGGAGGAGCTCATTGAGGAGAACAGTAGATTAAGACGTCTAGTTCAGCAGTGTGGAAACAGATTTCACATCTTCAACAACAGAGATGAGAATAGCAGAGAGCAGGTGAATGATCTACTGCAGAAGATTGACACAATGATAGAGCAGAATGGAGGAGGACATTACAGTAATCAGATGTTTTAAGATGCTCAGAGATTCAGACAAGCGGAAGAAGAGCAGAGACAGAGAGAGCAAGAGGAACGCAGTGAAAACACCGACTTTACACAATTTTTTACCAAGTATGGGCATAATTTGCGTATGTCAGCTTTTGCAGTTGGTAGATATGAACTTGTTGGTGATTTTATTTCGGCATGTGTTTATGAAGCTCTTCATGCAGCTGTGTGAGTTTGTCATGGCCAGGCTACACAGCATGCCCACAGTAACCTGTGTGTGTTGCTTCAACAAAACAACCATACATCTGTTTTGATTTACCTTCTTTAATTTATATTCATTAATTCATTCATTTATAATCATTTATCATTTAATCAGTTTATTATTCCATTTAATCATTTATAATAATCATTTAATCAATTTATATACTCATTTCATTGATTCATACACTGATTAATCATTTATATTAATTGATATATTATTTTTCCTTTGTTTAGTCATGATTGGTTTCAATGGTTATTTGTCTTCTCAAATGAGTAAGAGATAAGAGAATGTCAAGGCATCTGGGGCTGGATCTAATATTTCTGGTGTAGAGACTTGATCTAACATTTCAGTCAGGCAAGAGGCCCAGAGCAAGTAAATAAAATCACCTTGTTTCAATGAATAATATATATATATATATATTAGTATATATATTTTTTTTTTCAGTTGTATCCCATTACAAGCAGAACAGTAATTTATCTCTATTAACTTTTTTATTACTTAAATATGTATTACAATATGTCTTCTTTTGATGTCTTTTTAATTGTTAATTGTTTCTAATTGTTAATTGTTGTTCCAGTGTTTAAGTGTTTATGTGATTTGTTCTCACTGGTCTCTTTTTTCCTCTGTAGTTGAAGTGGATGTATCCCTATTGTTTATCAATTATATTTAGACTTTTTACACTCTGGTGCGTGGGTAAGAAGTATTTTAAATTGAACAGAAGACCTGATTATCCTGTTTTAATCAGGTACAACTTACAAATACACATTATCCCGATACACCACAATACGAAGTAGGAAAATTCGGAAACACAATAAACACTTCTCACTGTAGATGTATATGTTGGGGGTTGGTTTGGTGGACCCATTTTAAAAATCTCCTTAGGGCCCCCAAAATCCTTGGGCCAGCCCTGGCATAGATGAACAATTATACTCTAAACTTAATTCGACACTGAAATACGCTAACCTTGTTGAAAACAGCTTGTGATCCAGAGCACACATACTAATAGTCACTTTAACACGAAACAGGAAACTCATGAATATCCATGTTTGCTCTGCCCAGTTCTTCTGGCCCAATAATCCAGGTCGCACGCAATTGCCATAATATGTTTGGTCTAGTACGCAGCTGCCCTCATATTTTAATGCAGGACAGAAATTGTAAGTAAATTTGTCATCTTTGCAGAAATGTAATATGAAGATTTGACAATCTTACATTTATCTTTAGCAACACAGTGAAAGTGAACAGGACATAGAAGACACATACCACTACAAACATATGAATCATCATTTTTCATCATCGAGAGAGGTTGCGTTGCAGTCTTTAGCATCCTTGGTAGTGTGTACACCTCCCATGCCAGCGACCTGGGTTTGAGTCCCACTCGGAACACGAACAAGACGGGGTGGTTAGGACCGGAGGGGTTACACCTGGTGATCATTATGCTTTTGCAAAAGTGGGAAAATATTCAATACTAAATAACTGCAAGGAAAACATATTTCTTTTTCTGAGTGTCTCTGAGTGAAGCAATGTAACTTTATCCACTGCTTATCTTCATCCACTGTTCCTTTTGAATCATCAAATTCTTCATGGTTTTATATGTGTTTCTCCACTAATTGTGTAGATATTTCAGATCACATTATCAAGTTGAAAATGTCTTCCACACTCTGCAGTCAATTGCTGAATCAATTAATAAACTTTTTACAGATGCCCTTGAACAACATAAGTCATCAATCATGATCGTAAGTGCAGTTAATAGCTTCTTAAATACATTCTTTCAGCACGTTTCTCTCTTCTCAGGTCTTCCTCAGTGAAGTCATTATACTGCAGTATGATTAAGAAGACATTGTCTCTTGCATTTTTGACAAACTATTTTCCTGTTTGACACTGTAAAGCTGCTTTGACACAATCTGTATTGTATAAAGTGCTATATAAATAAAGGTGACTTGACTTGAAAGCATAAGGTCCTGGATCAGACATATTCACACACTCTTGATCTTCTGTTGAACACTGCTCATGATTGAGGAGCAGAACGATCACATGAGGTCCTGGATCAGACAGATACACACACTCTCTCACTGTCTGTGTGATCTGATGATCTGAGATGTTTGTCTGGAGCAGCTGATGACTGTTGATGAGCATCACATGTCTGTCCTTCAATCTTCCTCTGACTCTCTCTATAACATCTGGAGGAGCTTCACTGTCAAACGCTGCTCGTCCTAATATGAAGTTTCCCACTCCACTGTTTTCTGACACACTCTTCCCCAGAAGAACAATCCTCAGAGGAGTCACATCACTCACTGAAACACTTAGCATTTTTTGTAGGATAGTGTAGGAAATCATCACTTTAATTGACACAACCAATAAAATCTTTAGAATCAGCTGTGGGGCGGCGTTTGAACTGAAGTGGATTGGGGGGAAAAATTGTGCGTGCGTGTCATGTGCCTGTCTGTCAAAGGGAGGAAGCCACGCCCTATTTTGGAGCTCCCACCCCGTTTTGGAGTTCCCGCCCCCATTTGGAGATCTCCAGGCTGCAGTTATACCCTTCTCCAACACACGAGTAATGTGTTACGACACCAAGAACTGTAGCATTCTACTATCACAGATAGTACTCGGTTCTATATAGAACCTTAAAGGGTTCTATCAGGCGCTGCATATTTGGAACCACTAAAAGGTTATATAAAGAACCCTTTTTAAGGGTTCAATCAAAAGAACCCTTTAGGGTTCTTTGTAACCAAGAAAAAGTTTATATGTAGAACCCCAGTTAACCTTTTTTTCTAAGACTGTACATACCAGCAGGACTAAATTTGGACTAAAAGTGTTATAGATCAAGCAAAACTGGCCACAAGTTGTTCATCATGGTCATCAATATTCTTCTATTGATTTACAGTCCAGAGGTCTTTCTTTGCTCCGTCTTCTCCTGTGAGCAGAACCGTGAATAACTGCTGTGGAAATGAAAAACACTTACATTTGACTCTTGGATATGACTAATAGCAACTACAAAACACATTAATGAGGTTTTTTTTTTTTTTTTAAAAGGTCTGATTCATTGATTCTCTAAAGGAGTTTGCAGGGTTGCCACAGTAAACATAATACTCAAAAACAGCATTATTAGAGACAAACACTTATGGTCTTTTGATATGCAGAAAACATATTCAGTGTTTCATCAAGTATATGAAGCACATCATTTCAGTACTTAGTAGTGTAATGATTTCAGGTTATATGTTTTATCAGCTTCATTTTAAATCTGAGCCTTCCGTTTGATTAACACTATTTAGGAACAGTGTTTGACAATTAATAGGACTCTATGAACACTAGACATAATATAACACAACTTATAGAAACAAATAGGCTGCTTTTATTTTACAAACACTCATGAACTGAAACATCAACAGAAACATGACTGACAACAAATGTTTAAATACCTGTATACCCTTTTTTTTTTAAATACTAAAGTACAATGTAATGTGGAAACGTCTTACTTTAAGTACATTATTAAGTAGATAGATTAGACATTTGAATAAATCTTGTCTATCGTTCATCTCACAAAAGGATAGATAAATATCTCTTGTAGTAATTGAACTTCAGATGTTTTTTATGATCTACATTTATTCATTTAGCAGATGCTCATACTGTATCTGAAGTGTCACTGTATACAACAATCTCACCTGCATATGTCCACATTTTTAAATTCAACTTATTTTTATTTTAAAGCTGATTTTACTGAAGTTCATATTCATTAATAGAGTAATCTCTCACCTCTGCTTTCTCTGCTGGACATGTTGATATTCTGTTCTTTCTTTATTCATGAGTTGATCATCTTCTTCTCTGACTCCTGACATCTGTCTCTTCATCATCCTGTCAGACATAACACTGACTTAATTGACACACACTTTATGTGACTTAATGACAAAAGGGATATGTGAGCAAAATGCAAAACTTATAAAAGCTTTACACTTCATAACAACTGATTGATTGCAATTGTACATTTTGCACTTAAATTATATACGATCTTAGACCCACAATCTTGGATTGAGTTTTTGTTTATCTGATACATATGAAAGTGAAAGCACCCATTTCTGCCGCTCATACAGTTATAATTACACTCCTAATAAAACTTGAATCATCATTTTGTGTCATATATTATGTTTACTTATACTATGTACCACTAAGAGTGTCTTAAAAGTAAATTAGATACCCGCATGTCGAGGTTTGTCATTCCCTTCATGAAAGCAGGTATAATTAATATCCATCCTCTGTTTTCATATAATCTTGCCACTTTTAAAGTTTTCCCAGATTTAAGACTGACTCGGACCTGCCAAGGCAATCGTGAAAACATTAAAACATTATTTAAGATTATTAGAGAAACGATCAGTGTAAGACTTGTTCAGCAGCTTTCCTTCATATATTTTCTTTGTTAACAATTTCTTGTCTACAAAATTTGTTGTAGGGTTGAAGCTTTTTCAATGCACTTTGTTTAACTTTTCTCATTAAAACTTTCAGATAAACGCGTTGTCTTCTACAGCCAATCAGTAACCTAACCTACATTTAAACATGAATTTTATATATCATCCATTTAGATTAGATTGCTATTAAACATTTAACTAAGACAATTTCACTTAGAGAACTTAAATACAAAACATTCAATAAATAATTTCACGCTGATGCGAATCGCTTTTGTAACTGAGGCCATCTGCTGGTTAAAACTGTAAATGCAGAAAGCACAGCAACAATATATTTTATATGTTCTACAAAACAAATGCAAGCGTTTATTTATTTACTTAGTTAGTTAGTTAGTTACTTACTTACTTAATTACTTACTTACGTTTGTTTGGGGAAGGTCAGTGTTGTTGCTCGTGTTTCTGTACGGACTGTGAAAACTGTAGCACCGCCTGAAGTTCATTCTATATCTGAATTTAGATTTTTAGGTATTTGGTTGGATTCAAAGATAACATTTGCAAAACACATTCAACAGATAGTAGATAAATGTAAAAGAGGAATAAATGTACTGAGGTGTTTGGCAGGAATAGATTGGGGAGCTGATAGACAACTTACAGAAGCACTTCATATAGAAATAAATCAGATCTCACTTCAGAAATTGTTAAATAAAGATGTGACTATAGAAATGTTTCACATATTATTTAAGTATCTCAAAGATACAGAGTTAATAAACAGGATTTAAAGAATCACTACAAATTTTTTTTTATTATTTTTTATTATTATTATTATTATTATTATAAATATTTATTTATTTTTTATTTTATTTTTTATTTTTTAAGTTTTCCTTTAACGTCATTGCTCCACACTCCATCCTAGTAGGTGGCGGTAAATGCACCTAAAGCTGGTTTGCCAACCGCCATAAAACGTCAAAGAAGAAGAAGAAGAAGTTCATTCCATGCTTCGACTCGTCCTGCAGTCGATTCTCCGCGAGACGCCACAATAAACTGGAGTTTTCTAAGAATTTAACAATTAAATCGTTTTTACGACACACGAGACAATAATAATGTCTGACAACGAAGACAAGTGAGTTCTGAATGCGTCTGTTACAGTTTTTATGAGATATTTACTGTCATTTAAAGTTCGTGAGTGTGAAAACAACAACAACACGATGAGATCATTAGAAACCTGTAGTCTGTAAGGAACTAACGTTATATTTTAACAGGGTTATGCGCTTTCTTGTGTGGATGTAACGTCTTGAGATCGAGCGTGTGCCTTTCGTTTGTTCATTTATTTATCTGAGGATTCTGTGTGTTATTGTTGCTCAGTTTTGATGATGGAGATTTCGATGATGTTGAAGATGAAGAGCCTCTGGATGATCTGGAGAACGCGGAAGATGTAAGAACAATGTTTTCTGACAGGTGACCATGATTTCACCAAGTACAACATGTTCCTGGATCAACATTCCAATCAACCAATCAGAACTGAGGAATAACTTCTCAGGAAATATCTGTTTTAGGCTTACAATCAGGGTTAGGTGCTTCTACACCCTTGGTAATCAGCTATCATTTCACACTGATTTTAGGAATAAATTATGGGTAGGGTGAGGCTTAGGGGTAAGGATTGGGTTAAGTCTTTGGACAGTAATGTTGATCCAGGAACATGTCTTATTTGGCAAAATCACGGCGACCGTTCTGACAAGCGATCATTGACTAATATAGATCAGAAAGTTTTTTTGTATTAAATGAAGCTTGTTTTGGGACCAGACTTGTTTCCTTGCATTGCCACACTATGGGTGATAGTTGTATTGCATGTGAGTTTCAGCACTTTTAATTAAAATAATGCAGTTTTTATAGTTTTTCAATTCAGAATCCCAATCCCACTTGGGTTGATTAGGTGCATGTTATAGATCCATTAAAAAAATATTTTTTTGACATTATATTAATGACAAATAAATCAATTCAGACCCCTAACATTCATTATTGTAATGCAGAAATTGTATAATAAGAATATAACAGGTTAGTATTTCTAGTACGTATTTTATAAATGATTCTCAATGTGTCTTATTGACATCGGGTAAGTATTTGTAGTGAAAGTAGTTTAGTCTCATAGTTTTTCAGCTCATAATCTCAATTTCGATTTGATTGTTGAAGTGCATCAGTGTCAGACTCTCCTGACAGTCTTATCTCTCTGTGTTGTTTGTTTCTCATCTGTGTGTGTGTGTGTGTGTGTTTGCAGGAGGATCAGGAGAACGTCCAGATCCTGCCGGCAGGTGAAGGACAGCAGGCCAATCAGAAGAGAATCACCACTCCTTACATGACCAAATACGAGCGCGCGCGAGTGCTGGGAACACGAGCGCTGCAGATCGCGTGAGTGACCTCGGACCCTTCAAACACAACATAGGCTTCAGTTTTGAAGTGAACACTATACAGCCGAGTGCATAGCCTTTCAGAGTAAACTCCATTTGATAGCATTGACACATGCACACCAGAATATTTCATCCCTGTTTAGTGTCTGTGCTGTTTCTCTCTTGATGTTACGAGTGATAAAAATGTCTTTGCGATCTTCTCAACTGGAGTTCAAATAGAGTCTCTGAATTGCTCGTCAGTGCAGCCGTCTGATTATGTTGCATCTCCAGTAGTTTGTGTGTTTGTTTGTTCTGTCTCTCCTGTTTGTTTTTTTGACTAAATCAATGGTTTGGTCCAGTATTGCCACCTTACAATTCTGATGATGAAATTTATATCACACACTGTACACAAACCCTAAGTTCAAATTCAAAGTTTAAATTTATTTCTAAAGCACTGAATAAAACAACAACGTTGACCATAGTGCTGTACAAACAGTAACACAATGAGCAGAATAGGCTTGCCGCGATAGACGGTGTTGACGGTGATACCGGTGTTAAGCTATATATAGGCTAAAGTGAGTTTGACGTTGTATTTTGTTGTTGCATTCAAGCAATTGACGCCGAACTGCCGCTAATTTGAAAGTGAAAGTAAAATGCGCATGGCGCTTTTAAGCTATTTAAAAGTGAAGGAAAGCGAGAAAAAGAGAGAAAATTCAAACGAACAATTGCTTTACGCCGAATTGCCGCTGTTTGAAAGTGAAAGTAAAATGGGCACGCCGCTTTAACAAACCATTTAAAAGCAAAGGAAAGCAAGGAAAAGAGGGAATGCCCCCGCCCCCACGGTGATACCGGTATTACCGGTGTTGTCACATGTCGATTAATCTTCGCACTTATCTTTGATCGAACGCTATCATAAAAAAGTATGTTATCAAATGGCTTTTAAACTGACCGAGCGTCTGTACGTCCCTAATATATAGCGGCAGACTGTTCCATAATTTAGGGGCGGCGACCGCAAACGCGCGATCCCCTCTAGATTTCATCTTGGACTGAGGAACAACAAGAAGTTTCTGTGATTGGGATCGTAGGGATCTCGTTGGCTTTTGTTCCTGAATTAGATCAGCAATATAAGATGGAGCTAAACCATGTAGAGATTTAAATACAAGTAATACAATTTTAAAAGGAATCCTAAAAGAAACAGGCAACCAATGCAATGATTTTAACACCGGGGTAATATGATCTAATTTACAAGTGCCTGTGAGCACTCTTGCAGACGCATTTTGGACCATCTGCAATCTGTCTAAAACTTTTTGAGCACCATAATATAGCGACTTGCAGTAGTCTAATCTCAAACCCTACTGTACACAGTAGTATTATTTTTGTATTATATATATATATATATATATACACACACACACAGTATTCATGTTTTCTGGTTTTGTTTTCGTAATCTTGTTGTAATTTTTATTAGTTTTTGTTAAAAATTTCCATTTTTAGTATCAGTCATGGTAGTACTTAAACTTATTTTAATTTCAGTTGCAACGTTGCTGCAAAGGCAGTATTTCAAATTTACATTTAGTTTGCTTTTCATCTAATATTTACAATATTTAAATATTGTATAAATAATATTTATACAATAATATTTAAAACAAAAATGTTTTAATTGTTTTATTTCTAAAGGTTTTTTTTTTAAACCATAAAAACGTACGCACAAAAGCCAAGTCAATTTATTTGTATAGCACTTTTTACAAGAAACATTGTTTCAGCTTTATATTTGTTTGTTTTTTTATTATTATTATTTATAAGGACTATACACATTAATTAACATTTCTGTAAATGTGCCAGTATTCATAATATTTTAATAATATAGTAATGCCTTAAAGTCACATTAAGCTTAGAGCTGGACGAGAATATAGTTCATTTGGAGACTATATAAATTATCAGGCAGTTGAGATTTGCAATGCGTACTAATAAATGCTCATAATGCTCCATTAAGCATCAGTGATATCACTTCCTGTGTGACAGGATGTGTGCGCCGGTGATGGTGGAGCTGGAAGGAGAGACGGATCCACTGCAGATCGCCATGAAAGAGCTCAAGTATGACAAAACGCATGTTATTACACTACTGATATATTTAAGTTTTGATTATTCATGATTTACTTATGTAATTACAGACATTTAAGTAATGGTATGTTCTTTAATAAAAACAATACTTTTCTATGGGGGAAAAATATATTTTGTTTTACTTCTTGATTTTAATTTAAACTTAGATTATAGAGTAAAATTATTTTAACAGTGTATAGACAAAATCTCTGACACATTCTCAGAATGTGTATTTTTCTGTGTGGTATGTGTTTTAATGTTGTTTGTGTGTTGATCAGGAGCAGGAAGATCCCCATCATTATCCGTCGGTATCTGCCGGATGGGAGTTATGAGGACTGGGGCTGTGACGAGCTCATCATTACTGACTGAGAATCTCACACACACACACACACTTACACACTCAGATCCGCATCAGATCTGTGTGTCACAGCAGTGTTTACAGCACACATCTCAAGTGTTCTGCACTAGAGCTTTATATTTCATCCAGCAGTTCGTGTGTTTGTCCACAGGAGGGCAGCAGAAACAAAGGTTTCAATTTCAATTATTTAATGTTCATTCCTTTGTTTTATTCATGCAATATTAAACTTTTTTTTGTAGGAAATTATATGCTTCACTTTTTTTTTCTCATTATTGTTTTGAAACAATGTGACATTATCTGTAGATTCATACTACATGAGTTTAAAGCTGTTGAATAAAACGGCAAATAAAATTTAATTTACAGCTGTTCATTAAAATAGTTTGTAAAAACGGGGGAGTTAAAATGTAGTTAACATTTTTTTTTTAAATAATACTAATAAAGTGTTGTAAACTGTAAAAGTACCAAAGGAAGGAAACCGTTTAATAAACATTAAACGTGTATTTTTTCCCCTAGTCAGAACATTATTGCAATGACCCTTGATTCAGAAATAAAACATTTTTCTTGAAAATTAAGTCTGATAAAGTTCGCGCCTTGAAAAGTGTTTCGCGGGATTTGATTCGAATTTATCAGCGATAACGAACCGTTTCCACTTAACTGACGCACGAACGGCGGGATCTAAATGTAAATATTCATTATTTGCGCGGGTTAAACGTGTCTGAATTCACCTTTTGAGGTGAAACTACTTTTCTAGGTGGATGAACTTCTGCTGGTGTCATTCCTGTGGATGGAGTAAACAGTAAGCGTCTGAAATCACATAAAGGCTACTCTCAGAGTAAGTACTTTTTTTGAATAAAATATTAGCCACCGTTACAAACGCACGTTCTATAGTATTAATGTGTGTAATGTATATGGATGTATTCTGGGTATATTCGCCATGTTATCACTGTCATGTGACCTACGGTGTGTTGTGTCGCTGTCATTCATAAATCCTCTTCCATTGCTAGGGTTGCCAACTTCAGAAAAGGAAAATAAGGGACAGTCGTGACTTATTATAGAAAAATAAGGGACATTAAAAATATGGACAGCTTGATACTTTATTGGTCATTTTGTATTTCAAGAATGGGGTCCAAGGTTAAGAATACATTACAAGTTAAATGTAAACATTGTTTCACTATTTAACAACGTTTACAGTGAAAGACAACTTCCCGTTATAATCACGTCTTCCTTCAGGTAGATTGCGTGTTTTATAGATTGCCCAAACTGATCTTAATTATATTTATTATTAAGTTGGAGTTGGTTTTGTATAGTCTAGGTCAGGGGTGGGCAAACTTGCCCCTTCCAGGCCACTTTCCTTCAGAGGTTAGCTCCAACCCTAATCAAACACACCTGAACCAGCTAATCATTGTCTTCAAGACTACTAGAAGGCTACAGGCAGGTGAGTCATATCAGGGTTGGATCAAATCTCTGCAGGAAAGTTGCCTGGAAGGGCCAAGTTTGCCCATCACTGGTCTAGGTGGTCATGTCGTATATGGGACAAACTGCGTTCAGCATGACTGTCATACAGAACGCTTCTTTGATCCCTTAAATGCATTTGGCAACCCTATACATGCAGGGCAGGACTTAGGGGGCTGGGGGCCCCTGGGCTTGAGGTTATGTTTGGGCCCCATACCTAGGGTGAATTCGGGTAATCTGGGACATTTTTTGCAATTTTGACTCCTGTGATTTATTTCGATATCTATTTAACACATTAGATCAGCACATTAAACTTTTGTGAAATCCCTAAGATGCTTTCTAACCACACCAGAAGAAAGAATGAAGATATTATACCCAGAGGAGACATGCCACACCTATTAGTGTTTTTGTGGCAAAAAAATAAAAATTCTGCCTGAATTTGATAATCTGCAGGTCACTTTGCACTCTGGGACATATGTATTAGGCCTAAAAAAGCCTATATTCACCATACTTTATGCATGCCAAACACAATATCACCAATTTCTTAAAAAAGCATTATGAAAAAAATGGCAAGTGCAGAAATCTCAATAAGAAAATGTATATTCCAATATCAGGAAAGATAATTTCTATCTATACACAGGATTAACGATCTACTGTTAATTCATTTAAATTCATAGCTGACTAATGACTCTGTGTGTGTGTGTGTACAGAACATTGTCAGCTGGCCTGGGCGCAGATCCCCCTCCTGCTCAGTGATTTGAACCGTTGTATACTAAACTTACTGGGAATTTAGGAAAAGAAATTAACACCTTTGCTTGCTACTGGAATACGTTTCCCAGATTCCATCTCTGTAGCATCTCTCTAGCTAGCTGGTTTAGCTAGCTGCTGTGAATTTATGCTAATGTTATAACCTCCAGTAGTCCACATTAACACCCATTTCTCATTATAGCATATATTATCCCTTGTCATTAGACTTATAAAGTCCCTAAATGCATATTTCCTCCATTTGAAGACTGTCCCAGATTACCCAAAACATGCTGTCCCACATTCTCAATCATATATGATAATGTGGGACAACAAAAAATGTTTGAAAGAAAAAAAAAACCTAAAACACATTTTCAACACTTTAATACATATTTTGTTGCTTGAATAGATCACAAACATAATTTGACAACAATTAGGAACATCCTGTCTTATTCATGACAGATTTATGTCCTTAACATGAATCTAGTCAGAATTCTTTGTCACTGACCTTGTCATGCAATTCCCAGGGGAGCTTCTTGATTGACAAGTGCCCCGCCCCTTTCTGTGGAATCACCGCATGAAGTCATGTGATTTCAGTCACATGACATCCATGCTAAAATTATAATAAAAGTCCTATTGGCTAAATTTTGTTAGAACAGGAAAAACACACTGGATCTTAGGTGTCCCAGATTACCTGAATTCACCCTATACACTACAAATGCCCTCAACTAGAATATTATTATGAAGTAACATAAAATACACAAAAATTAAAATATTCTTTCAGGTTCATATACAATTAATATGCAACATGTCTAGCCTAGTCAACTTTTAGATGTAGCCTAATATTAAATAGTCATTATAATACAACAAACAATGTGTTCTCTCAGTTGAGAGATCAAAACCCTGAAATAACACTGAGCAAAAAAAAAAAAAAAAGCCAGTGATGCATTAGTATTATAAAAAATGTATTGTCATATCTGTCTTCTAATGTCAGATTCTTAAATGTAATCAATAAACTCAATCAAAGAAAAAAAAAAGTTGGCTATTAACAATCAAATGAAATCACTCATGTAGAAATATTAAATGAAATAATAAGCTACTTTTTTTAAAATATGAACTACGTGGCCTCATGGGATAGTAAAGTGTCCATCGAATGTGCACTTCAGAATCTTTCCAGAAGTAGATACTTATGCTGCGTCCCAATTTATACTACTTATATTACGCCCTTAAAGTATGTTCTATTTTGGTAAAGGAAAAAGTACACACTTTTGAGTGTGTATTAGAAGAGTAGGCATGTTTTGGGAAGTATTATCACATCACACAATTAGATAGAAGTTCAAATTGTTGTTGCAGATGAAATATAACACAGATAATATTAAATATACTTTTTTTTTTCCTTCACCAGGATAGTAACTAAAACCTCTCTACTTTTGGTCGCGCACATCCGCCATGTTTGTAGTTTTTTATAACACTTTTTATTCATGTTTGTAGTTCTGAATCAAATCCTTCACCAAAGCGCAATGGGTTGTGGACAATATTAACCATTACAGTGTGCATGGATCACACTTCAAACATCTACCCAAAATAGTAGACCATCCGGGGACTTTTGGCCTACTCTTTTCAACATGCAATGGTTTGGGACACACTTATTGTAATCTCACATACTATTTAGGATGTATAGTATGAACATTGAGACGCAGAGCAAGAATTCGGACACATATTGTCTTTCACCTACTATAAGGTAATAAGTGATATCGGATGCAGCCATTGTTTGCGCTGTAAAGTGTCTGAATCAGCCTTTTGAGGCGTCAAAATCTTGTGGGTGGAGTTTAATGCATGTAAACAATGACTGTTCTGAATGGAATACTAGCATACTGCATATTATTAAAAAAACAGTTTGTGAATTAGTTTGCAGTACCCAACAATAAACTTTGTTTCAAAGAGTAGTACACTATATTACACAGCCTCAATAAGTTGCTTGTTTAATTAGTTATTTTATATTATCATCCCACATCAAGTCTAAAAAGTGGTTTAAATTTGTGTTAGATGTCACTGCAGTTCATTCCTGACACTGGAAATATGGAAATGGAAAGAGAAACTTCATTGCTGGATACATGTTATAAAAAGGTCACATACAGTTATGTTGTTTCCACATCCTTCATGTAACTGGATTTCATTTCAGCCAGTAAATAATAAGCTCAGATTCACTTCTGAGCACACATTTGCAATGGCTTATGGACAATTAATTTTGTCCTCGTGACTCATGGAGTCACAGTCGTATGATGATACAAAAGCAGAAAATTAAACATGTTTCAAGATTCTGGTTTGCACTCATTTAACTGCACACTGTCTCTCTCTCTCTCCATCTTTCTGTCTCTCTCTTTCGTGCACACGGTTTAGGAATGTCCAAATCCTGTTGCAGTGAGACCTGCAGTGTGTGTGTGTGTGTGTGTGTCTTTGTATCCAGTGAAACTGCAGCCCAGACCCTCTCCCTCTCTCCGCTCAGCCGGAGCTGAATGAGTCTCTTTGTTTAACCAAAGTATCACACAGATGATTAAATCAGGGAAATTAGAAATCAGCCTCAACTCTCAGCACACACACACACACACACACATGCACACATGCAGGACAGCATTCATGCACACACACTGTTAATGCAGAAATGCAGAGGTATTTGAGATGTGCGCTGTCATGATATTGGTTTCAGCCAATCAGAATAAACCTACAAGCTCACGCTGAATTTGTTTAGAATGGAATGCTAGCATAATGCATGTACACATACTTACTATACTCCAGGATCAACAAGGATGTTGATCCAGGAACATGTTGTACTTTGTGAAGTCACCTATACACTATATTGCTGTCACATTACTTCAGTTTGTTGCATATGGAAATATATCAAATCAAGCATACTGCATTATTATATACAGCATGCAGTTTGACATGTCTTAAATGTAGAAAAGTAATATATTGTATACATAGGCTACTGTATTCTGCTGAAATACATGGGTAATATATATTAAATACACCATAAAAACATTA